TAATAAATGCGTGATTTGATGGGAACATGTCTAGTCACACTTTTTCTGGATTTGAATAAAAAATAACCAGATATCTTTTCAAGCTCACTTATTCGCAAACTTTCTTTGGAAATTTAAAGATCCCGACCAAGCGCGCGTTTTTTTTCAGTACTATGAATGAGTACTGTACTTGTTGGATTTCAAGATACAGTATAGCCTGAACTAGAACACTTTTCAGGGAAAAGTGCTTCTTTTCAGTCTGAAATCGAAGAACAAATCGTTTGGAAGCATAAAGTGTATTGTTTATTCATATAGCAAACAGTAACATTTTAATCAGTAGCAGTCAAAACGTAGAAATTCATCTTGCCTTGCAAGTTGAAAATAAGCGTACCGCAACGTTATATATTGAAAACTGAGATCACTCTCTAGAGTCTAGAGCACGGCTCAGTAATGACAAGTAGAGGTTCCTCGTTATCAATGCTATCTGTGAAATAGGATAAAATGTTTCATTGCTTTGTTTAGCGAAGGTACACTCTTAGGCTGAACGATGCAAAATAGATGCCCCGGGTGAGACTCGAACTCACGGCCTTAAGATTATGAGACTTACGCGCTGCCTACTGCGCTACCGAGGCACTTGTTTATAATTGTGTTGTAAAAGAATTACAAGTAGCTACCCATACAGGCAGCTACCTGGAAAAGTGCTACAATCTTTCTAGCTTTCGTGAGGAGCAACTCTAGCGGACAGATTGCAAAGTTTGCGTTTCCGCGTATATCTTTAAATCACATCACTTTCGATATTTCGGAATTATACGCAGCACTGTACAGTATATACATACCGAAAAGTTTCAGTGCAGTACTTTCAAACTTGATGTGAACAAAGGTTCAAATGAAAAACCGACAATTTAGCTCACTCTTATGGAGAATGAGGTAAGTGAGCTAATTCATTCAACCTTCTTCTTTCAACAAACGTATGACTCGTTATATGCAAGTACTGTACTGGGTCACTTATTTGTACTAAAATGATTTGACCCTTCGGTTTTAGTTTATTCAAGAAAGGTTTGTTGAAATTGAGGCCACATCTGAACTTTCCACGTCCCTCAAAATGTGTTGGGATGATGAGCTGAATTATTTTGATGCACATTATATGACATTCATGCAGCAGTAAAATAATTTTCTCTTCATGAAATTAATGACACACTAGTACTGCATATATATCATGCGGATCTTTTCCGCCATGCTCATGTTAATTTGAACTCAAGTACAGGATCTCAGCAGGTCAAGACCTTGGCACTAGAAAGACTGGAAGGGCAGACAGCAAAAAAAAAGGGGAGCAGAGATTTGCAGAGGGACTTCCCCCAACAATCCCTCCTGCAGGAATTGCACAATATAAGCCGTCGTTTTCTCCTCCTCCCGAATGGACCAGACGCGTTGATCGCCGTTTTCCTCGCTGTTCGTTTAGAGCGTATAAAAGTCGAATTATTTTCTTCAGCAGCCCCATGTAGCACTCATCGAAATGGTCTTTTTCTCTCTCTCTCTCTCTTTCCTTTTTGGCTTGCGTCTCTTGCTGCATGATCTACTCGAGGAAGTTTCCGAGCAGCCCCCATTCAGCACGTGGTCCTTTCCCGATTCCGGTTGTGCGAGTCGAGTCATGCAAACGCGTCGTAATTCCGGACTGGCCCGACGTCTGCATCGGGTGCTGCTGCTGTCGGTGTCGGTGTCTGAGTCGGTGTCGGCGTCTGGTGGGAATTACGGCCAGGAAATCTCCGTCTAGTCCTCGCTGACGCATTGCCGATTATTTGCCACGCTACATTTCCACCAAATAACTATGACAGACCGCGTAGACTACATATATAGATACAGTACAGTACTCGTGTACTACTGTAAAGTCCATGCGGAATGCTCCATTATTTTCGTCGGGATTTTGGCAAGTGCGGGATGCGCGCGTGGGTTCATTCATGTCTCATATATTAACTTGATTTTATCCATCACCAAATGAAGAAAAATTGAATCGATGGGTTCTGTGCGTCTCTTTTTTTTTTTAATCCTCCCAAGGCTTCTTTTAAGGAAGTTGATTCTCATTTCTCAAAATTAAGGATTTCACGGTTTGATAATTGGAAATCTACTGTAATTTGTATCTCTGGACTCTAATACAGTACAGTAATATCATTCGTCGTAAGAAAATGGAAGGGAAGCGTTTGTATTTAATTCTCTGTCCAACTATGAATCGTCGACATATATTGCCAATTTAACTTTGCACATTTTCCCGTCATCTCTGTCGAAAATTAAGTTGTGGCATAGTGTGTAACAAGTTGTGGGGAACCTTGAACTTGTTAGAAAACGTCGCATAAATTAAAAATATATTCGAATACTGTATCATTGGCATCTTGAATCAGTTTAAATACCGAATTTAAAGATTTTCGACGCGATCACTTCCGAAACTGATTTTATATTGAGCTACTTCGGTCTCAGCGGTCATGACGAAACCCTTTATTCTTCTTCTGCGCGCCTTTTTTTTCAGGACTGATGTAAGCGTGCATGAATTCTTATTGCAAAAAATGTGAGAAAAAAATTCGAAGCCTGGTCTTTTTTTTTCAGTAGAGTGTGTTGGCCCAGCAAGTGAAATATAAAGTTTTTAAAAGCCACTGCAGTAATAATCTATTCAACCTTTAATTTTCCAAATATGGTTTCGAAGCACCGACTTCTCCAATATACAGTATTCTGAACTGCAAAAAAATGCCGGATATAACGTATATACAGGATAATATTCTAGGTTACGTGGCAATTTGAGTTTCGGCGCTCGTTCCAGGGAAAGGATACTCACAAAAACTGGAAAGATTGTGTTTCCTTTCCAGGTAGATACCTTTTTAGTATTTGACCTCTTTTTCTGAATGGAATCTGACAAGAGCCTCGGTAGCGCAGTAGGCAGCGCGTAAGTCTCATAATCTTAAGGTCGTGAGTTCGATCCTCACCCGGGGTAACACTTTTGATTTCATGCACAGTAATTTGACCAAGAAAACAAATGAACAACCGAAGGTGTGCTTTTGGGCTTTTGTACCATTATAGGGATGCAAATACTGTACAATGAATGTACCAGCACTCACTCACATATTGCTCACAGAAATGCTGATGCCGCCGCGTAAAAAGAAAAGTGGGAAGAAAAGTGTATTTTTGGCCTAATTAAGGTCCAAAGTCGATCATTCCGAAAATCATAACCTATACACAGTACTTCTCGCTATGATTTTGTATGTAATTGTGACGAAAAGAAGTACCGGAATGTGGAAAATAGATCGCACTTTTCTGTACGCTATTTTGAATCAGAAATATATGTCCCGGTACGGTATATATTCATTCATCATGTTAGGCAACAATAATGAGCCATTTTAGCACCATGCAACTGACAATGAAGCAGGTTTGTATGTGAGGTATGTGGGGAAAAGTGCATGACATTTCTTCCGCACGAAGGATACGAATTTTGGGTAACTTTCTAGAGACACACCTCCTTATGAGCACTTGACCCCTTTTTCTAGAAAGTATCTGACAAGTGCCTCGGTGGCGCAGTAGGCAGCGCGTAAGTCTCATAATCTTAAGGTCGTGAGTTCAATCCTCACCCGGGGCAATATTTTTGATTTCATGCTCAGTAATTTGACCAAGATAACAAATGAACAACCGAAGGTGTGCTTTTTGCTTCGACACGAAAGGCTGGATTAATGCTGAACCCCCTTTTTTTTCTAGGCACACGACATTGATGGCGAGGAAACCCGACCTTGAAGTCCGGCTCGGTCATCTGAGCCAATTTTATATGCATTTCCGACCTGGAAAAAAGATCGATTTGCTTTCTGCCGTCGGCTGAAAGGAAATTTTTTGCGGTAATGAAATAAAGATCAGTTCCCTTTTTTTTCTTTTAGGAAGCCGAAAATCCCAGCCGCGTTTTTGCGGGCGTGTGTCGCCGATAATTGTCGCTTCCGGAGCTTTTGCCCGCCAATTTTTTTTCTTTCGTCTTTCTGGACTCTTTTGTGCCGCTTTCCAGGCGTGCGAGAAAGCTCGAAAAAATTGTATCTTCATATTTAGGAAATAGGCGACTAGGGTCCGGCGAGCGGCGACAGCCTTTTTTTGGAATTTTTTTTTTCGCGAATAGTAAACAACCCGACGTATTATATCTATATTCTTCATAATTCAGATTATTCAAAGCAAGAAAAAAATTAATGGCGTATGAAAAAGCGTATGTGTGTAAATTTCGGCGTACTTCAGACGGCGTCATGATCAACACGCGATTATCATTCAGCAATGAACCATCTGTCTAGTCGTTGACGTAAAAAATGGCCCTGAATGCCAAAAAAAAATAAGAACCCAACAGACTAAATGGCCAAAAGAACAAACCATTAAATAAAAATGGTTTCAAGTTTTTTTGTTGTTGTTTGAATGCACCATAAAGAATATTGGCTGATGTACAGCAGATTACGCGTATAGAATGAATACGTTGGATAGAAAAAGGAAAAAAATCGCACGCAAAGATCATGGAGCGACATCTAACTAGCGTAGTGATACATTCTTCAACCTTTCCAGTAACACGAAGGACGTCGGTTACGCGTAGAAAGAAACGATTTCTTCAGGGATGCGTCTAACGAGAATATGTATGCATATTCAGCAGTGCTTTTGAGTATCCCTTGCAACACAATCAACAAAATTCGTATGGTCTGAGTTGAAATATTCGAATTCAGTATACAGTACAGTACTGTATAAGGAAAAATATGCCCCGGGTGAGGATTGAACTCACGACCTTAAGATTATGAGACTTACGCGCTGCCTACTGCGCCACCGAGGCACTTGTCAGATGCTTTCTAGAAAAAGGGGTCAAGTGCTCATAAGGAGGTGTGTCTCTAGAAAGTTACCCCAAATTCGTATCCTTCGTGCGGAAGAAATGTCATGCACTTTTCCCCACATACCTCACATACAAACCTGTTTCATTGTCAGCTGCATGGTGCTAAAATGGCTCATTATTGTTGCCTAACATGAGGAATGAATATATACCGTACCGGGACATTTATTTCTGATTCAAAATTGCGCACAGAAAAGTGCGATCTATTTTCCACATTCCGGTACTTCTTTTCGTCACAATTACATACAAAATCATAGCGAGAAGTACTGTGTATAGGTTATGATTTTCGGAATGATCGACTTTGGACCTTAATTAGGCCAAAAATACACTTTTCTTTTTACGCGGCGGCATCAGCATTTCTGTGAGCAATATGTGAGTGAGTGCTGGTACATTCATTATTGTACAGTATTTGCATCCCCAATGGTACATGAAATGTTTCGATTTCTTGGTCTGCATTTGTCGACTGCTCCGTGTTTGTCTTTTCCCGACGTAGAGTTGAGTTTAGCCTTGTGTGTATAGTGACTTAGTGAGTGACTTGAGCGCATACAGTGTGTGGATGCGGTCTACCCAGCTCGACTACGCCGCAACACGCTTCTCCTGCTGTTCGAGCCGCTCGCCTTCTGAGTCCGGCCAGTGTTCCTTGCTGCATCATCAGGGAATTGAACGACCATATATATACAGCACAGCAGTACAGTTTACAGGTAATATGAAAGCATCAAATTTCAAAAGGACTTTCGAAATTTCAAACTGATTCATGTACTGTATAAGATGCTGCGATGACCATTAGGAATTCGATTGCTGGAAACGTTAACGTTTAATTGTGAGAATTCCTTTTTTTTTTTTCTTTTTGCCCAGGAGTCTTACTGGCCGCTGCTGCGTTGGCACTGACGGTGCCAGGGGCAGCATTCAGCTCATTGAGAATGGACTGTGCCTCGGCGAAATCCGCCTCCGTGCCGCCGTAAATCCCGGCCGCAATGTCGGTCAGCAACTGCCTGATGATGACCACTGTCGAAATGAAGCATCGGTGCACAGTTTTAAGAGTAACTTTTGTAGGCCTTCGAGGGTTATCTTGCTTTTTTTCTTTCTTTCTTTTCTTCTTCTTCGCACCCTCTCAGGGCTAGGTCACCGATTCTGCGGTTTCGTGATGTGCATATGGATCGTCTCTTCTTGTGTTCAATTGGCATCACAAAGCCCGCTTCTTGGGGTTTTTTCTTCAATAGTTATAAAGTCATTACTGTATGAGGAAAATTGGCAGGTATTTGAGCTTTTGATTGACGAGAATGAGATCCTAGAGTACGTCCAAGTTGATGTGCGCAAAAAGTTTCAAAAGATGCAACAGCTTTAAAGCTGCTCATTGGGATTGATTTTAGCATTACTTTCCGCCGGTTGAACCAAGTAATTTTTGATTATTGCAGAAATATTTTTTCAAAGGCATGAGCATTAAGGTATTTGAAATATAAATCAGAAACCTTCTAAAAAACAAAAGTAATGTGTATCACGCTTCAAAACTGCACGTGCCGATGAACTAGAAATTAAAATGCCATGACCCAGCTGCATTCAAGCGAAATGTTATCAACGTACATTGATGAGGCATATTTTTTGGGATTTGATGATTTTTTGACAGCAGCAAGATATCGCTGACAGTTGTGGTTAAAATTCATATGAGGCGTGTTCCAAACGAATAAAAAAACAAACTATTTGATCTCGCATATGCATAATCTTGGGTTCGCTAGAGTTCCTCCTGACTCCTTAGTCCTTACTGCTGTCGAACGGCATATTCAATGAACATTAATAGGAATTATGCAATAATTTTGCGAATCGCTCGGGGGTCGGAACGACAGGCGAGTTATTACCTTGAATAAGAAAAAATGAAACAAGCCTCACAATTTGTATCTCTGATGGCCGAGTTCATGGTGTAAGTGAGGATGGGATCGTCAACGGAGACAACAAGTGACGTGAGTCTGTTTCTGACAGTGGTTGGCAACAGGGGGTTTGTCGGGGCCGCGGTTGTTGTTGTTGTTGTTGTTGTTGTTGTTGATGACGTCCCACTTCCCACGTTTTTATACCCGTATTCCTGACTGTTCTCGTTGCTATTGCTGTTTTCACCTGCTCTCATCAGCGGAAAAAGTAATCGAAATATTGTATCTTCATCCATCAGGATCAAATACTTTTTCTAGTTTTTATGGACTAACCGCTATTGTTATTGGACGCGTGTACGCAAGCAATAATAGCCAGCGTTGCCAACAATGCTGCCATCAAACGAATCTTTTTCATCATGCTTTGGCCAAAAAATAAAACATAAATAGCAGCGTCCTGTTGCGCAAAAGCAAGTCAAAAAGTCAATGTCAATTTTTGTTGTTGTTGTTCCCCCACAACCGCGAAATAAGTCCGCAATTTTACCTTCGAAAACGTTCGCCGCGAAAATTCCTCATAATACAGTTGAACTCAAGTTACACTCTGGAATGTGCTTCGATCCAGCAATGTAATCAATCAAACTTTTTTTTCATCGCAGCTTTCGGGGTTGGAGAAGACCCCTGAGAATCGGGGGTTAAACAAAAGAAGTACATAGAAGAAAAAAACCGCCAAAACTTCAGTTTCACTAAAAACTTGATCCCAAATCTACTTCGCACAGTTATTGTTGAAAAAACAGACTCACTGAAACCTGAAAACTCATTAATCACTATGCGCTGCTGGGCGGATCGTGATCCAAACCAGAACTAGAGCGGGAATGGAGTTTTTCCAGCATAAAGCTGGAAATAAATGAGCCACCGTGATTCCAGTGCAGCAGCAGCAGTAGCTGAGAACAAAGGGGTGAATTCGTGATAATGATCGCGTGTGCACATTATCATGTGTCCGTCATGTGTCACAGTCGACAACTGGGGGAACAAAAAAAAAAAAAGAGTACGAAATTTCGAAAAGGTAATTTGAATGGATGTTGAGGATGAGAAGAAAACAATAGCGCGAAGTTGTCTGTCTGATGTGTGATCTGCGTGCGTATCACCGGAAAAGCTCGGCAAAAGCGAAAGTTTTCATTTATCGTTTTACAACGAATTTGTCATTCATTGAATCAGCATTCTGGAACGAAGGAAAAACAGCATTAAATCAATGAAAAACAAACGAACAATCACTATCCTTTCTTGCTGAGTCATTTATTAATAACTTTGTATTCTCGGAAACCAAAGCAAAATAATTGGGAATTCTCGATGAAATCCGAATGCGTCGTGGTCAACATTGGCATTGATTTTTGCATGCAGTCCGTGGTTAATCAACTTTTTCCCGAATCAGTTTATCCAGCCCTGCGTCTTTGCTGCTGCTGGCTGTTGGAGCTGTTTCTGTTCTTCTGCTTCCTGGATCTCCTATCTGGGAAGAAAGTCTCATGAGTTGAAAATAATAAGTTATGCACGTTGTCCTCAGTTTTGTTTTCCTTGTTGAACCAAGATGTAAAGGCAGGAGTTTTAGCGGAGATCCCACGCTTTTCAACTTTTGCATTATGTTTCATTTATCCCCGGCTTTGACAGCTCTCCTTGACAGAGAGGCCAAGTTTAGTGGAATCTGATGCTCCACATTTTTAAACGATCTCTTTTTTTCTTGGGGCATTGAAAGGATCACAATTCACACGTGTAACAGCTTTTCTGGACTCACATCGTATATAACTGATTTTTTTTTCATTAGCAAGAGAATGGTTGTTATCATTTTATCTGTTCATTATTTTTTACTTGAAGAGCTGTTGGAAGTGGCAGTTGCTTCAGCAGCTACAATGGCGTCCAGAATGGACTGGGCTTCAGTGAAGTCAGCCTCATTTCCTCCAGAGGTCCCAGCAGCGACATCTGTCAGCAACTGCTTCACCGCAGGCACTAATGCATCACAATAAAAAGCCCCAATAATGAAGCGACGAGACACGTTGTATACCATTAATACGTGCTCAAAGTCAATCGCTATTATTGTTTTTTTTTCATTATATTGCTCACAGTCTCTGTTTGTCACTGAAGTGTTCATGGCATCCGTTAGGGTTTGGTTGTCGACACTCGTCAGCAGAGCCGTGATTCTGGCAATGAGAGCATCTACGAGCACCGTAGTGTTCGTTCCTGTGCCTATTTCTTCACTGCTCCCACCGTTTTCGTGACTTCCTCCTCCATGTCTTCCTCCTCCTCCTCCTCCGCCGCGTTTCCCGCCTTTTTCGTTTGAAAAATAGCACGCCCATTTTATGCTAATACTCTGCCTATATAATCCTGCATCAGGATCATGCCCGCATCAAATCATAAATTTACTGCCTTCATCGCCAGCAGCAGCAGCGATTATGAAGGAAAGTCTTCTTTTTTTTTTAAATAAATTAATTTATGCTTTTGTGAGAGTTATTCATTCCAGCAAGTAGTAGAAATATACAGTACAGTATTTCTATTTTGCTTTACGTTCTAGTTTTAAAGTGAAAAACGGCTCTTATATAAGCAGCTATAAGTGTTACCTTTGTGGGCTTCGGAAAAGCCGGCGAATCCCAGGACCAGAAGAATCCCGAAGAAAATAATCACCGATTTGGTCATTTTTCTCGCCTTTATTATTGTACTGCTGTACAGTATATATATCTGGGAATCACTAAAAGTTGTTTGTTCGACGAGACCAAATTCCGACAAGTTTTCTATATATGAACCAAACCCGAATTTGAACTTATCAAGGACAAGGAGAGAATATGTTTTTCGATTAAAAAAAAAAAAAAAAATCGTTCGGAGCTACTATACACAGTGCATGTAACACGCTTTCCAACGGGAACAAAGAATGTAACTGACCTTTGCTAGAGTCTAACCTTCCGAATTTAAAGCCGAAACAAGAATAAATTCGCTGCATTTCTATTTCCGCATATCGTAACGATTAGGAAAAAGAAGAAGAGAAAAATTCCGCGAATGCGTGATAAACACGCACCGGATGTAAATTGCGCGTCATGCGTGGAAAAGCGAGAACTGTGGTGTGGAATTGATGTGTTTCAGCAAATCTCGCTCTCATTTTTCCAACATTTTTCTTCTGTTCCGGTCACAGCGGAATAACTGAACTTTGTTGCTGTATTAAAAAAAAAAGAGTAAAATCATCGACATTATTCCCGATACGACGTATGTTGCCTGCTGCAGGTGGCGCAGAATTTTCCCACGTTGTGCGCGAGAAACGGAATATATGTTGCTGTCGACAGTTATTGAACGATGATGTATTGAAACCCGGATGGCTTTTTATTCCGGTCAACGACAACAAAAATAAACGCTCGAGTTGTAATTGTTTACCGATTGATTGATTGATTGATTGATTCGTTGATTGATTGTAAATGTATCACACGCTGGATTCTGCTGCGACGATGCTCAGTCCACGCACACAGGTGGGTCATTATTATCTCATCTTCATTTCATCAAGACAGGTCGTCGGCGAACGGGATGTAGGCGTCGATGAAAGTGAGATACTTGTCCGTCTTCCACTTGAGTCGCTTCAACTTGGTGTTGTCTTCCGGGATCGGCTCCTCCTGAGACTCGATGCTCGCCTGCACTTTGCCCACCACGACCTGGAACTTGGTCATGAGTTTCGCGGACCCGGCCTCCTTTTCCAGCACTTGGCGCAGACTCTCGAATTCCTTGACGAAATCCGCGAATCGGGTCCCGTCCACGTCCTTCAAGCAGTCCTCGTAGCGCTGGAACACGGACTCGATGAGGTCTCGCACCTGGACCCGGGACTTGGCCACGGTGTCAGCGAGGGACTCGAACCCGGGCACGAGCTTGCCCGAGTCCTGCTGCAGCCGGACCAGGGTGCTCAGGTCCCTGGTGATCTGGGCGCTGGTCTTGGGCCGCTTGCCGTGGTTGGCCGCCGTCGCAGAGTCCGTTTCTTCGCGGTAAGTCTTTTCATTTGTGAACGAACAAAATTCAAGTATACTGTACAGTACAGTATACGAATTAACATCCCGATCAAGAATTACTATATAATGAATGTTCTCCATATATCCACACTACAGCTATTATATATATATATATATATATATATATATATATATATATATATATGATAAATGCAGGTTTCATCTCTACAGCTGGGGTTTATTTGAGGTTTATATATATATATATTTAAATATATACAGGTCCGAACACTCTGCTGAAGATGGCTCTTTTTTGTCCCAGAAATTTGCAAGGCGAAAAAAGCGACAGATTTCGTAAATACATTGCCTGTATATCCACTATGTTCCCACATAACCGATTTATATGTTGTGTCTCAATGCAAATAAGGAGATACAGCGTCATAAGACACAATAACCGTTATATATAGAGGGGTTTGAATTATGTAGATATATGTAAGCAGAGTTATCAGATATATATTTTTTCTAACCGAGAGATATTTCTAGTTTCCTGGCACTCTCTCAAACGCAATGTATATTTGATCAAATGAATTAAAATAATGAAGAAATTGGAGACATGAAATTCAAAATGTACGCCTTGCATCCCAGAGTGATGAAATTCTATCCTCGACTCCTGCGCACATGATGGCGTGAATTTGAAGGTTGTCAAGTGGAAGCAAAATATTGTATCTGAAAGATTTTATTTAATGCGTCTGCTGAGATTTAAAAATATCATACCACTTTTGAACGAAACAATTTAAATGAACGCAATCAATTTAAATGATTTTAACTGAGAAAGTTGGGTGCCTTAGTTATATCATACAGTGACAGGAATTCCTCGCAGGGACCCATTGTTTTGCAGGCATATCAAGCAATTCGATTGAGGTCAATGCAAATAGCAGCAGGCATGACAATAGCACTTATTGGTCAGTCGATGAGATTAAATGCTCGGGTCGTGTGATTAAAACCCTATATACAGTACTATTGTAAGTACTTGAATTTTTTCTTGAAGCAGCTAGTTTTTTTTAAATGCCAGGTTCGAGAGAAAAAAAAAATAATGTTTCGGACGAATTCATTAGATGAAAAGTGGGCTCTAAACTCACTTGGAAGTAATCAAAGACTTCCTTGGCGACGAGCTTCTGCTCATCGGTCGCAGCATCAGTTTCCACAAACTCTCTGAGCTCTTCGATGGCGACTCGGATCGGGACAAACAGGGTCCTGATGAACCTGCTGTAGTTGGGCTTGCTGCGTTTGCTCTTGATTTCGTCGCGGATCTCGTTGTTGAACGAGTCTTCTTCGTCAATCACTTCCGACGGCTTGTCTTTGCAATGCCACTTGCCTGGTTTAAAAAAAAAAAAAGAAAACAGAAGACGTCATAAAGATGCGACTGCTGCTGCATCATGGCAAATTCTTTTTCTTTTTTCTTTAACGAAATCCCCATATATATATATATACATAATGACGGGGATACTCACGATTTTTCTCGACACCGATGGCGATTTCCTCGGCCGTCTTCCGGTCTGCTGCCGATGCGACTTTGTAGGCCCCAGCTGCGATCTTGACCAGCAGGTCAGTCAGGGGACGAACTGGTGACGAGAATACAATGACCTCGCATATATATATTATGTCAAGGGACATTTTCCTTATTCATCCATCTCAGCACTCACTGGTCTTGACCTGGAGGGCGGCATTCACGGCTTCGGTGAGCTGAGCGTCGCCGATGCTGGCCGTCAAGGCGGAGATGTTGGCGGCGATGGACTCGTCGATCGGCGACGGCAGGCGTTCGCAGTCTCGCTTCTTCTTTCCCTCCTCTTTATCTGTCAATAAAACATAAGACATAATATTATAATGACGAAAAAAAGAAAGAAATGACGGTTTTGTGAGAGAAGGGCGATGAGGAAACTGACCTTTGGCGTTGCGATGAGGCGCCGCGTCCAATAAATCGGCGACGACGAACGCAAACAGGAGAAACGCAGTGACCAGTTGTCGCTTGAACATGGTCGAAAGCAGGTTTGGGTCGGACGAGTCGAGAACCGGGGCTTTTATACCGCCTCCGATCGGCGGATGAGGACCTCGGACCTGGAGGTTTCTTCCGAAAATTCCCCTACATATTTTCCCGCGATTATTGTTGGTCTTGATTTTTTTTGACGAAGTCTTCTTTCTTTTCTCTACAACCGAGTTGCAATGAGCAGATTTAAATTTCTGCACCTTTTTAGTCAGCACTTCTTCCATGAAGTGACAAAAATTATCTTTTCGAGCTGGCGATGAGGGATGAAGACTATTATATGCATTCGTCTTCCTTATTGGACAAGAAATGAAGATTCCTCTCAATTTGTAAAGATGAATGTTGTTGTTTTTTTAAATATAGGTATGTCAGTGTATAAAGCTGGAACTACACGGGGTTAGCCAAAAATCACAATTTGAAAATTTACAGCAACTTCTCAAACACGGAAAAATAAAAAATAAATTAAGCCTCCGAAATTAAATTAGGGATCCTCCCCAAAACTCATACTTTGAAGAGTCCGAAAATTAATATTTGGAAGTTCATTAAGCTGATGAAATATAAATTTCACCGGAATAGTGTAACTAACTTTTTTTGTGGATGTGTTATTGTGTAACTTTCTTGTTATTGAGACTTTGAGAGTGATTATATTCATTCACGTACATGCGGAAATGATTTCTTTTGAATGTGTTCAAGGGAAATGATACCATTTCATCGAATTTCCGAAATATTGTGACTTGATAAGTAGATGCATTGTTGAACCAATCTCGAAAACTTTGGTTTATTTTAATCGCGTGTTTTTTTTTCTTTTCTTTCTGAAAGGTCGGCAATTTTGCAGGATGTTCCCTTATTCGAATGCGTAATTAAGACGCTTCGGTCGGGAGTATCGGGACCATCATGAGCAAGATGACGACTAATATAGCAGCAGCAGCAGGACTTTATGAATGACCCCCAGCCGTTGTAATTGAGGCGTCGTGACCTGGAGAAGTTGGTCCTTTGTTGCAGCCTTTGGCTGCGGTCATGAGTTCATCGGCTTCTTCAGGTCGTTCACGCCTCATCAGTTCGCCAGCACACTTTATTTTATTTCATTTTATTTTATTATTCTTCCGTACCTACACGTGGAATCACTTCCTTTCAACTACTACACTGGAGGCTCGTCATTTGCAATCAAGTCATCCTCGCTTCCGGATACGAGAGGAAATGAAAACGTTTCGAAATATATGTACTGTACTGTACTGTACTGCTGTACTGCGTGTATAGTGCTGATTAAAGAAACACGACTACAGTATATGCATCTCTTCTTTATTCATTATTTCATTATTGATGTGCCGCCTCAATTTATTGGAGCAAATGGAAACAAAAATGGGATGCTGCTTATGAATTCATAATGGAAGCTGTTTAAGGAATCGGGGTCAAGACTTGCTGGATGCGGTCTGCATACGGTGTCATCAACTCGACGACTTTGAGCATCTTCCGGCTCTTGTCGCCCAGAGACATGCCGATATTCCCGTGCTGTCCCGACTTATTTTCCTCGGACGAAGACCCTTCACCACCACCAGCACCAGCGGGAAGTGCCGTGCTCATCTTGTCCAGCACGGCTTTCAAGTCCTGCATGAGTTTGGCAGAGAACCCGTCTGACCTGTAGGCGGCTCTGACGGCGGCCAGTTCCCGAGCCGCCTCTCGCACGGCCTCGTTCCCGGACGCCGCGGCGTCGGCCTCGAACTTGTCCAGGCGCTGCGCAGTCCGGGCTTTGGCTCGCGTCGCCACTTTCTTGAGCCCGGATTTCAAGTAAGGGAAAGGAGGGTCCAGGGCACTGAGTTGCTGGGCACTGGCCCTCAGGGTTTCCAGCAAGTCGAGCGACTGCTGCATCTGCTCGGCTTTGAAGGTCCTCGTCTCCATGGCGGTCTTGACGAGTTGCTTGTATTTCTGCGCATCAGCAGGAGGAGGAGGAGGAGGAGGACATCGATATACTGTGCCATCATCGAGGATGATGTGAACGACACATCAGTCAGTTCGAGATTAAATTACTGTACTGCATCAGCCTATTATTATCATTATTATTACAGCATCATAATTACTGTATCATCATCATTCAGACGACGAGTCAGAAAGAAAGAAATGATGACAAAAATGCTCTTGTTCACATGTGTTTTATAGATAAAATATATATAAACAAGGGAAATAATTTGTGTGAACGTAAGAGGACCTTATTCTTATATTCTAAATCTATCCAGCGATGGATTGACGCATTTGGGGGGAGGGGGTGGGGGGTATTTCTGCAGAGTATGCAGTGTGGAAAAATTGACAATTTAGAATGCCTTAAAAATATTTTTTATGAAAATCGATGCGGATGCTCTGAGGGGGTTATTGTGATGTGTGCATGATTAGGATTTTATTTGCATTCATTTATCTATTTAATACAGGTGAACTCTCTCTACAGCGAATTCGTCTACAACGAATTTATCTGGGTGTGGTCCCATCGGGTTCTCTCCATATGGGTTCTCAACAAAGAAATTATCTCTACGGCGAATATTTTTCTGGTCCTTTGAATTTTGTTTCAGAGAGAGTCCGTCTGTATTAAAAGAAAAATATATATAAGATAGATAAAGTTCTGTCTGTTTCCTGAGAATAAAATATTTTTTCGAGCTTCAAAGAGTTTAAAAAATAAAACGAGGAACATCAAAATCAATGTCAGCTCATTCTCGGATTAATAATGTAATTATCTGATTTATATAGAGACCCCTTTCAATTTGAATGGTCAAGTTTATCTTTCGAACGATTTACTGTACTTGAATTTCGGTGTTGAGATTGTCGTGGATTGCTTTGGCTTGAGGGCTAGTTTCTGCACGCATCTGCAGCCGCATTTTGGCAACTTTGATGGGCACAGAAGTTGCCGACATGACGAGAACTGGGTCAAAAATCGGGCGATCGTGTCCTCCCTTTGCTGCCTCTGCAAAATCCGAATCAAAAGCAATTTGAATAGCCTTGTTTTTTTTTTCTTTTTGCGAGAGAAAACTGTGTCAAACCATATCTCGCCCATTCCAGGGCCCATAAAACATCTTCGGCTTGATCTGCATCTTGATCCGTGCCACCGGAAACTCCTGTCGCCATTTCCATCAGCCTCTCTGACATCCCCTTATCTGCAAAATATGGCCTCTCAGTCATTTAAATTTCCTAATTTACTGTATATGGGACAAGATTAAATTGTGTATATATTCACAGTCGTTTTGGCTGGCTGCAGTGTTGAGGGACGAAATGAGCGTTTGGTTGTTGGTGCTGGCGGCGATTTTCGTCGCATTCGTGACGATTCCTTGCGGAATCACGAATTCTGCAGTTTCATGCGCACCACGATGAGCTGCAGCATTGATAGAAAATTGTGACGCATTCCAGAGAATAAGATGTTGGATGAGGAAGTCAAATTTAAATGACGGTACTCACCTTTTGGACGTGCGAAAACCCCGATGCCGAATCCGAAAACTAGAAAACTCACCACTTTCACTTTCATCTTTTCAATTCTCTTTCAATCTGCCTTATTTTCACCTTATTAATGGGTTAATTCAAAACATTTTATCACGGGTTTTCTATGTATAGTATTTTTTTTTTCTTTTCTTAGAAAGCAATAGTACAATAGTTGTTATATATATATATTTACACAGGATACCAGCACCTGCTGCGTTCTTTATATACAGTATTTGCTGACTATATGTTCGAGATGCACAAGAATATATAAATATAATTTTAAAGCAGCAAAAATTTGTGAATTACTGTATGCAAAGGCCAATAGTATAAGCTTAATTTAAGATGGAATATAATGAGTTAAATGCGAAAGCTTTTCCAATTGCAATATATACGTTGCAACTGTTTCTTTAATTCAATTTGTCAACTCTTGGGGAATTTTAATTTGCAACGTAGCATTTACAATTGATTTATTTGCTCAGAGTGCTTATTTCACGTAGTACTGTAGAAGGACGCTTGAAAACTGTGCTATCTACTCTCTTTTTGACTGTGTCCATATTTTATGTGGAGAAAAAAATAATAAATGTACATGAAATGTCCGAGCGCTGAAAGAGACTGAGTTGCAAAATGAGAGGGCTTTTATATATAGTGTTCGTGATTCAAATCCCGAGGTTGATTCGTTTTCGTGTCAGTTGAAAAGCTGGCCGGAAACAAAAGCGTTTCCGTGTCACAAAAGATGAGGAGCATCATGTGAAATCAGGGCGTCAACCACTCAACAGCTGCGCACGCGGATGAAAGCAAAAAAAAAATTAACCCCAATTCACAATTTGCTCCCATATATTCGCGAAACAAAACCCGATAAATTTTATTGCATAAGTTGAGAGAATTTCCACAGGTTTTATCTGTTCTCACGCTGACCACGCGGAAACGCATGCAGACAGCGTATAGCAACTCATCGTTTGTCTGAATGGACCAGTGCTGATACTGCTGTGAATGGATTCCAATTTTCCAGAGAAAAAGATGATGATTTCGATAAAATCCTCGTATTGCGAAATACTCTTTCGTGGGATAATATTATGCAAATTTCATAAGTGTAACCAATAACTCAGCCGTGTGATGACGATTATACCGCGTCATAGGCAAGCATTTCTGGAAAAATTGCGGCGCAAGACGACAAAAAGTACCTCTTCCCATATATGAAGAAGGTACAGTACCAATAAATGCTCGACATATCCGAAAATGACGGCCTTTTTTTTCAATAATAAAAGACCAGCTTCGACGTGACAACTTAATGCTCCAAGAAACAACCCTTGACTGTCAAAATCAGAAGAACAATTTTCTTCGGAATGTCGAATGACGCGTTTGTCTCGCCAGCATGCAAAGCGTCTTTTTTTTTTTTTTTTTGTTGGCAAGGACCGTCACGATGCCAAGGAATTAGGGAAGTCGAATATACAATTTTGATTGATCGAATCCAGCATTCTGAGTACGCAATTTTCTTGTTTGAGTCGCAAAATTGCGGGTGGAAAAATGCATTTATGAAAAACCCGAGCGCATTTTTTGCGCGTTTTTCGCTGAATTATTTCCAATTTAAATTTCTGCCGATTCTCCACGAAAAGCAGGCAGAACGCGGATTTCTCAAAATCATCAGAGGATTTAAAAAAAAAGTTTCGGCACAAAAAGGAAATTTTTCGTTTCCCCAAAAATGATGGACGTCCTTCCTTTTTTTTTTGCGAAAATTTCGCGAGAAACTTCAATTCGAAACAGCTATACAGCAGACACACGCACAGATATACTGGAGTTGGCTCGAAAATTCTTGTTATTTTCCACAAGTCGTCAACTAGATTTCTGTAGGCCTTGACCCGAGACGACCTGGAAAACTTCCGGATCTGCTTCCGCTTCTTTTCTACCGGATGAATTTTTGGCTCCGACTTTTTTTTCCCCCCGAGTTCTCTTTTGCCTCTTCTCGTCATCTACCTGACCTTTCCTCAATGTCACGAGAAGTGCGTCTATTGCAAGGTAGAAATCAGCACGGAAACACTCTGCAAAAAAAAATGCAAGATGCATTTCCGATTCGTTCGATTGTACTGTATTTCGAGCTGCGAGCAACAAAAAAAAAGCCACAATAACTACCTGCAGCACATTTTCCACGGAAATCCATTTTCTTGCTGTGAATTTCTTTAAACTTAATAATATCTATGTCATCTTTATCTTCTCTTGAAAAAAAGAAAGAAAACTGCTATGGGATGTTTGAAAATTCACTTGAGCAGATTTCAACAGTCGTGGATGTGATGAGAAGACTTTTATTTTGGACAAAACCAGGGAAATAAAATCCGGAATATCGCCTATCATTTGATCCCGAAAACATCCTCATCAAGCCCAGGACAAGCCCACCTACAAAAGAACAAAAAAACCCGACACAGTTTTTCTCCCTTTCAATTGACCTGGCCTATGATTTGCCGCACGTGCAGATGTTTCCGCGATTATACAAGGGATGAATAGGAATGCCTTGCTCCGATTCCATCAAGCCGACCTGCTTTTTATTTATTTATTTATTTTTTTTTTTGGACCATGCAGCACATGCTGAAGGAGAATAAGATGAAGACGGACTTTAACCACTCAATGCGACCCGGTGATGTGTGGGAACCCGTCATCGACCTGCGATGACAATCGAAGGGTCTCTTGTCTCTGATGGAACATTGACCTCTAGCTCTCGGATTCTATCGCTGTACTATGTTTTATATGGGGCTACGTTTGAAGCCAGTCCAAAGGGGCATTTATTCAAAGTCGTCCATATGTGCGACATATATTTACAGCATGGATGATGAGTGTCTGAAATTAAGTAGAACGGATTGAAGTGAATAAGATGAGTTTGAGTCGAAGTAACAGGAGCAAAGATGAAGCGTTCGCGACATTCCATTCCGAAGAACCAAGCAGTTTTTCTTATTTATTTACTCCTCGTTATAAACGGGCATAAAAACGTTGCATTGAAAAGTGGGGACTGACTTTTTATGATTTCAAACACAGGAAAACAAAAATCAAGAATCTTCTGTCAAAGTACGTGTCATTCACACCTTCTTGAAGTTTTGGAAAGCAGCAAGTCAAGGAAATATCACACAACACGGGAGACATTCGGATAAAAGTCTATTCAAGAATTGGCAATTTTACAGAATCATCTTCAATAATTAAAGTAAAAGAATTCCTCTTGATTCCATGAGACATGTGATAAATAAGTTTCTCTACTTTTGAGACGAATGAAGCCATGCATTTTTGCCCCATCAGCAATAAAAAAAAGAATCAGTGCTTATTCCTGAATAAAAGGTTTCACAGACCGAGGACTGCTGTACATGAACACGACGAACCTCCCAAACACTTCAAATATTCAATTATATGAAACCCAGCATAGGATTTTGCTGAGTCTTTATTGCGAGTGCGCTCAGCTCAAAAAGAACATGAAAATATACAAGCAACTATAAGGATCCCATTTATTGTACTTGTTGTCCGGTTTCCAAAAATTAAATAAAATTTGACAATGTGTCTTGTCGCCTTCCTTGTTAACTTTAACTTAGGAAACCTTCCAACTATTATACGTTTAAGTTCTCTCCTTGATGTCCGGGAAACTTCTTTAAGTGTCCGATATTCAGGCTTTGAATAAGTATAGAGTCCGTATATCTTCAACAAGATATATTTCTATCAACGTATTCGTCTCCTTACGAGGTTGCATACAACACTGAACTCGCGCAGGTGAAAACAAGGATTTATATAACCTTCGATTCATATTTTGACCAGCGGAATAAAGAACAAGAAAAAGGGCTTTGATATCTTCAAGAGGGATCTTGGTCAGCAACAGAGTTTCGGGGCGGAGAGGATCATTTGGTTTTATAATGAAGTAGATCTCGATATGGGTAAAGATAAGACTTGATGTCGCATGTCGAGGCGTCTCGGGACGCAGAGAGAATATCAAGCATCGGGAATATAATAATACTTTGTTGCAAAGTAATCAATGCATCAAAGGATCGCCAGAAAGTTTCGCCTCGGGGTACTTCCCAAGTATTGTCATATTGTCACACTGATAACATACTGTACCGATATATGAGGGCTATCTGGCAGTACTGTATCTGACAACTTTAAAATTCTACTATACATAGTCAATTACACAACTTCTCTCCCCATAAGCCTCCCTACAGCAATGACCCAACAAGAAAAAAAACCAACTAAATCATACACTATAGCCACAGCAGATCATTCATCATTCAGAATAAGAGTAGGTGATGAATTACCTCTTACGAAATATTGTACATGTTGTTCGAAAAATGTCGCTGTAATTAGAGGAAATTGTTGCACAGCGAGAGAGAGAGAGAGAGAGAGAGAGAGATTTCACCTGTCGGTCTTGAATTTATTTTCAAAAAGACGGAAGAAGGATTCCGGACTATATAGAACAGAGCTTATTCAGTATTCCGTATATACAAGCAGTTGTAGTATAGCATTCCTCAACTTATGCCCTTCATTCCCCGGCGTTCGTGGTGCAGAGAACCTTGCCCGAGCATCAGCTGACGACAACGACGACGGAAGTTATACAGTAAAACTGTAAGCGTATATATATACAGTATATATATACTGTACTGTGCACTGTAGCTGCCTGCCTGGCACTGGGGCCACCCCCAGCACAGCATATGTGTAGGCGTGTGGGTAGAGGAACGCTCACACCTGCGATGCCCATCAGGAGAACCCACCAGCCTCACACACACACACACACAAACACGCACGGGCGTTTTATTTTTAACGCGAGCGCGTTGACCTGACCCAAGGGTCAACCGGGAGTCATCTCAATGGCAAATGGGAAAGAAGGAAATCATCGCTACATCACAACCTCGTCAACATATTATTGCTGGCTTCATGTGACGATGGTGTCCTATAGATACCTATATATATATATATATATACCCGAAGGCCATAGGGCAAATAATAATAATAATAATAGTAATAATCAATCAATTATCTTTTGTATTGCGCCCTGAAACTGCGGAAAGCTAAAAATGTGTGCTACCTTCGAAACGACAGCATCTTTGCTTCTTTTAGTTTTTGTTTTTTGCCT